GTGTCTTGGCTTTCCATGCCTTTTTACATCTCCCTTTCTTCATGTGTTCAATACTTTTTCCCTGTGAAAAACTTACATCTGGTGAAAATTTCATGTCATTAGCACCTCTAGTAATATATTTACTGAGAAAAATGGTGACGTGTTCAATATTTATTTTACCCGCTGTACACTCCGTGGCCACTTTAGTRGGTAAACCTTGCTAGTACTGTGTTGGACCCCCTATTGCCTTCAGAACTGCCTCAATCCTTCGTGGCATTGATTCAACAAGGTACTAGAAACATTCCTCAGAGAGTCTGGTCCATGTTGACATGATAGTGTCATGCAGTTACTACAGATTTGTTGGCAGCACATCAAAGATGTGAATCTCCCATTCCACCACATCCCAAAGATGCTCTATTGGATTGAGATCTGGTGACTGTGGAGGCCATTCGAGTACAGTGAACGCAATGTTGTGTTCCAGAAACCAGCCTGAGATGATTTGCGCTTTATGACATGGTGCGTTATCCTGCTGGAAGTAGCCATCAGAAGATGGGTCTGTGGTCATAAAGGGATGGACATGGTCAGAAGATGGCTACACTGTGGTCATAAAGGGATGGACATGGTCAGAAGATGGCTACACTGTGGTCATAAAGGGATGGACATGGTCAGCAACAATACTCAAGTAGGCTGTGGTGTTGACACGATGCTCAGTTGGTACTAATGGACTTTTGGTGTGGGGAAAATATCCCCCACACCATTGCACCACCACCACCAGCCTGAACCGTTGATACAAGGCAGGATGATCCATGCTTTCATGTTGTTGATGCCAGATTCTGACCCAACCATCTGAATGTTGCAGCAGAAATCCAGACTCATCAGACCAGGCAATGTTTTCCCGATCTTCTGTTGTCCAGTTTTGGTGAGTCTGTGTGAATTGTAGCCTCAGTTTCTTGTTCTTAGCTGACAGGAATGGCACCTGGTGTGGTCTTCTGCTGCAGCCCATCCTCCTCAAGGTTTGATGTGTTGTGTTCAGAGATGTGTTGTGTGTTCAGAGATGCTCTTCTGCAGACCTCAGTTATAACCAGTGGTTATTTGAGTCACTGTTGCCCTTCTAACAGCTCGAACCAGTCTGGCCGTTCTCCTCTGACCTCTGGCAACAACAAGACATTTACACCCACAGAAATGCCACTCACTGGATATTTTTTGTTTTTCGGACCATTCTCTGTAAACCCTAGAGATGGTTGTGGGTGACAATCCCAGTAGATCAGCAGTTTCTGAATTACTCAGACCAGCCTGTCTGGCACCAACAACCAAGCCATGTCCAAAGTCCCTTAAATCACCTTTCTTCCTCATTCTGATGCTGGTTTGAACTGCAACAGATTGTCCTGGCCATGTTTACATGCCTAAATGCATTGAGTTTCTGCCATGTGATCGGTTGATTCGACATTTGCGTTAATGAGCAGTTGTACAGGTGAGTGTACAGTAGACAGACTGTCTTTTGTCTCTATGGAGACCATGGCATACTTTGCTTCCGAAGGGAAGAATGTTTATGGCCAGTAGTTSAAGGTTGTCAGCCTCTGACACTGATTATATGTAAACATGTTGAACACAAGTACAAGTTGCTTGTCTTGGCACAGAGCTTTCACTGCAGAAYCAAAGTGCCACTTTGATTCAGACTTCATCTGATTTTGATTGCAGGTTTMGATGGAGGCGCCGCCTATTTGTCATCTCTGCCCCCAGCGATGAGGAATGGTCCTACCAGCAGCAGCTCTATGCTCTGACCAGCCAGGCCTGCAACCTGGGTGAGTTTCCTTTGTAGTTACATCAGAAATGGTAAACTGATCTTCAGTGGTGGGCAGCGCTAATTCAAAAGTTAGCTGTGCAAATTCTAAAGGGATAGTTAAGTAATATAGGTCTGCAAGTTCCTTATACGCGATTGATATCGTACTGGTCATAACAACCTACAGTGTACTATTCCAACTGTCAGATACAATCTCTCATAGGGCTGAACGATTAATTGCATTTACAATAATCTCGCAATACGTTAAAACAAGATTTTCTAACCTCACAGGCTGTGATTTGACTGGTCATGTGACTTGGAAGTGAGCTGAGTGGAGCAGTGTTGCCAGCTTAGCGACATTGTTGCTAGATCTAGTGGCCTTTTAGACCTCTCTAGCACTTTTTTCACCAAAAAGCGACTAGCGACAAATCTGGCGACCTTTCCCGTTGTTTTTGGAGACTTTTAGAAGCTTTGACGACAGCATTTTTCTCCTTTTCTCTTCCTTTCCTCCGCAAGCAGTGAGCGGTGTGGTGGGCCCTCACCCTTCCTAAAGCGGTCCAACTGAAGCCTCATGCAGCAACAGCACACACACACACACACACACACACACACACACA